CACAATACAAMGCCCAAGATTTGTTAGTCCATCCAAACGTACAGTCACTGGAGACTCCGGCTCTGCGGGTGTCCTTGTATGTGACTGCTATATCGATTCCTGCTCTGCTCCACTCCACCTCCCAGTAACAACGCCCACTCAGACTCTCTCTGCTCAGAACCTGACCATGGTAAGTGAATCTGTCTGGATGATCAGGATAAGACTGCTGTTGTTCCATTAATGTTGCTTTTCTGTTGCCTTCAGATAAAAACATATGACTGTTTGCTGTATTTGAATCCAGCGTAATTTCACAGGTGTGTTTTAAGAAGTCTGCTCTGGTTTTTGGCTCTGGCTTCAGGCAGTACAACCTCCACTTCAGAGATTCTAAGATGTTTGTCCACGTGTCGTTCAGGACGTCCTGCAGTTTGTCTCTGAGCTCCTCCACAGCTGCTGTCACGRCCTCAAAGTACCTCAGAGGAGGAATCTTGATGCTGGATGAGAGTGTCGGCTCACTGAGTGCTGACGCTGAGGGGTAGCTGTGGAGAAACTGGTTGTGATCCTCTGTGAGCGAGAGCTGCTCCAGCTCAAAGTTTTTCCTCTTCAGCTCAGTGATCTCCTGTTCCAGCTTCTCCTGGAGCTCTTTGACTCGACTCACTTCAGTTTCCTGCTGGGATCGGATCTGCTGCTTCATATCAGAGCTCCTTTTCTGTATGAGACGGATCAGCTGAGCGAAGATCATCTCACTGTCCTCCACCGTTTTATCAGCAGAGACGCTGATGGTCTTCACCTCCTGTTGGAGAAGCTTCACATCTTTCTCACGGTTCAGGATGATCTGCTGAATTCGTAGTTGAATCYCCTCGAGCTKTAGCTGCTTCWRYGCTCTTTCTMCRYKAGCTGAGATGGTTTGATGGTTTTTATGGTCATCCATTAAATAGTGATAGCAGATACACTGCTGATCGGTACAACAGAAAAATTTTCCCACCTCACCATGACGAGCGCAGATGTTCTCCAGGAGCTTCTTAGAGGCGTCCACCAGCTTGTGTTTCTGTAACGGTGGAGCTTCATAATGATGGAGGTGTTTCTCACAATAAGAGGCCAAACAAGACAGAACTTGACAGCTTTCAGTTTCCTCTCAATGCAGACGTCACAGGACACGTCTTCAGGTCCAGCAGAGCAGTGATCAGCTGGAGTATCTCGGAGTCCACTCTTCTTCAGCGCCTCCACTAGAGCTGCTAACGTGTTTTTTTACCAGAACAGGCCTCGGTGTGAAGTCCTTCCTGCACTGAGGGCAGCTGTAGATTCTCGTCTGATTCTCTTCATCCCATTGATCTTTAATACAGCTCATACAGTAGCTGTGTCCACATGGAATAGTCACTGGATCCGTCAGGACATCTAAGCAGATCGGGCAAGAAATATTTTCTTGGTCCATCTGAACTACTTTTTGTGCCTTCCAACCTGACTGACAACGAATTTGATGGTTTCACTTTCTGTTGTTGCAACATGCTTTTAAAAATTTAACCAGACTGGGAGGGAAGAAAGAAATATGTCAACAATTCATGCTGACACACAGGGCTGTAACAGGAAAGAGACCTAACAGGCTTTGACTGGTGCAAAGCCAAGGTAATGGGGCATGCAATCTTTACTATCAAAAAAGCAAATTTGCATCTCTTCCATCAAAAACAATAATAAGTGTGTGAATGCTCTGTAGTGGGGTTGTTTGAACAAAACTCTAGGATTAAGAAAGCTCAAAACACATGGCAGGCTGAGTTAGGCTGAGGCAGAGGGCCAAGACCTACAGCCAGACTCACCTGCAGCCAGGTGGGTTCAATTAGCAAAAACCAGCACAGGAGGCAATAGAAAAGAAAAGTGCCAAAGACCAACCCTATTTATAGGCGGGCAGAGAACAGCTCACCAATCAAAACCCTTTAAATGAAATA